GCTTGTTAAGCCGGGGCTGGGCCAGGTAAGGGTGGGGTCCGGTGTGGGTGGGGTGTGCTTGTTGTATATAAGGCACTGGGAGCAAGTCACTCCCAGTGCTAACTTTGTTTCCATATAGCGAATAAAGCTGTTGGTTGTTTAATGTTCCTGGTTTTTGGCTTTCATTGGAGCTCAAGCAGGATGGCTTAATACTTGGCTGTGCTGCTCTGCACAGGCTGCGCCTGGGGTGACTCTCCTCTGGGGGGGCTGCTGGTGAGGAAGGGACCATGGGGAGTGGCGAAGCTGGGGCGACGACGTGCGTGCCCACAGAGAGGGTTCTGAATGCCGCCTCTGGCACCCATGCCATAGGTTCGCCACCACTGATCTAGAGGCAGTAAGGTTATTTGCAGAAGTGACAGAATTATATTGGGAATAGTTCTGGTTGTCTAATGAGAACTAGATAAAGAAAGAAATTATCCTTCTTACTGCCCTGTCTGCGGAATATTTCATTGATGGTAAACACAATCAGTAAGTGTTGAAATGCTATGGAATAATTGTGTGGTCTTACCTTAGGACTGATTGCAGAATTTGATGTTACAATATGCCTGTTCTTGCTTTATAGCAGTGGTTCTCAACCTTTTTAATGCTGCGACCCCCAACCGGTCGTAAGTTGAGGACTACCGAACCAGTCGTAAGTCGAGGACTTTCCCTGCATGGGAGCGCCATGCATGCGTGGTGCCACCCCGTGCCGGCCGAGGTATAGCTGGCAAGCAGCAGAGACGGCGCAGGCCGACCACCAGCTGGGCCACCAGCTGGCCCAGCCCAAGGGAGGTAAGGCACCCGCCGGGCCCCACATGCGCCAGCAACCCTCCCTGTGCCCACCAGCCTCCCACCTCCCACCCCTGGCCCTCTTTTACTTACATTTTTAGTAGTTGCTCAGCAGGGAGGGGTGGAAACTTTCAGACAGCTTGCCTTCGCTGCAGAAAACTTGCAGCACCGTTTGCAGACTGGGGCTTTTGGCGGGCTCAGCAGGGCAGAGACAGCCTGGACAATTCCTATTGGCTTTTGAAAGCCAATAGAATTAGACTCTATTCAAGAGAGTCTATTCTATTGGCTTTCAAAAGCCAATAGAATAAAAGGGAGTAGCACAGCTAAGGAAAAGGGGAAAAAAATGGCGGACTACGTTGTTTGGTGACCCCCGTGAAATGGTCGTTCGACCCCAAATGGGGTCCCGACCCAAGGTTGAGAACCGCTGCTTTATAGCATTATTGCCCCCATTTCTGCATGCTAGAATCATCCAGATAGTTTAGTATAGTCACAAAATATATGTGACACACAACCCTAACCATGTCCTGTAACAATAAATCAATTCAATACATAAATCACAATGTTCAGTATCTGAAATGTCTGCCTGAAAGCAATAAGTAGTTGTACAACTAGTTATCAAAAAAACCCCACAAATCCCTGCACTACCAGGTTTTCATATGTAAACAGGGCTTTTATTAGGTTTAGAATGTGGTTGTGAGGATATCAGTATAATTTGCTCCTACCACTGCATTTTGTTAAGTCAGATTGTTTACTTGTTTCTGTGCACAATTCAAAGGAATTGTGATTTTCTATAATAATTTGGATCCAGAATACCTTTAGAGCTGCCTCTTTCTGTGCCACTCTGAACATGCTTTCAGATCTTGTCCCTTCCAACATTATTATTATTATTATTATTATTATTAAGAGCCCTTCTAGGACATATGATGAAATTTCATCATTTATGACAAGAAATAGGATCTTCTTAGAATCACAGCCAGCTATGCCTCTCTTTTATTATATACTGTCGGTTAGTTAAAAAGTGATAATACGGATTAACTTTTGTTATAATGTATGTATATATGTAATCTGTATATTTTCTTTTTATCAGAAAAGCAATATTATTATCCTCTAATGTTAGTAGATGAGAGGGGAAAGTCCTTTTAGGTTCAATATCCATTTAAAAACCCATAAGGTTGTAATTTTTTTGGCTATAGAAACACTAATTTCTACTTTTCTTGCCAAAGCTTGATTGAACCGCTCTATACATGATGCACTTTCTTGTGTGCTTCATCTTAGTTTGATGCAGTATTCTGGAGAAGAATACACATGCTAATGCTGTTTATTGATTTTAGTTCAGCGTTCAACACAATCATTCCCCAGCATTTGGTGAACAATCTGGGCCTATTAGGTTTTAATATTTCTTTACATAACTGGATACTTGGCTTCCTTATTGATAGGCCTCAGTTTGTGCGAGTTGGAAGGAGTTTCCTATTCCATCTTTTTGAGTACGGGTTCCCCACAGGGCTATGTTTTGAGTTCATTATGTTCACCTTGATGACCCATGACTGCTGTGCTAAGTCTGCTACAAATCCTATTGTGAAGTATGTGGATGACATGGCAGTGGTGGGTCTTATCCGGGAGGATAACAAAAAGTCATAAAGGGATGAGATGAACGTTTTGGTGTACTGGTGAAAAAACTACAACCTGGTTTTTAATGTTAATAAAACAAAGGAGATTATTGTTGATTTTAGAAAGGGCCAGCAGTTGTACTTCACTTTGTATCAAGACTGCAGCTGTGGAGGTGATCAATAGTGTTAGGTACCTGGGGGTGCAGATAACTAACAATCTTAGTCTCTTCATAAGTTGTCTTTAATGAAGCGTGCAAACCATTATTTGCATTTCTTGCATCAGATGAGGAAAGCACATCTTTTTCCTTCTGTCCTAGTCACTTTTTACAGAGGCACAATTGAGAACGTTTTAATAAACTGCATCACTATTTGATTTGATGGTAACAGTTCCTCAGATAGAAGGTCCATATAGAGAGTGGTAAGGACAGCTGAGGTTATAGGAAGCTCACTTCCTGTTATTCAGGATGCTGCTTATAAGCACCCACACACCCACTTCACGGTCTGTTTGTTGCTTCCCTCTGGGAGGAGATTTCGAAGTATTTATAGCAGAACTCACTTACCCATATATGCCGGCGTATTAGGCGACCCGGCGTATAAGACGACCCCCATCTTTATCGCCGAGTCGCCTTCCTAGAACGTCATCTTATACGCCGGAAACTACCAGTATTTCCGGCGTATAAGACGACTCGGCGTATAAGACGACCCCCATCTTTGGCGCTGAGTTTAGCGCTTCCAGAAGTTGTCTTATATGCCGGCATATACGGTAGATTCTATAATAGCTTCATTTCATTCTGCACAAGAGAAGACAGTAGTAAACCATTCCTGTATTGTACCAAAAAAATCAGATGGATAGGCAGGTTGAAATGATTAATGATATAGCACTGGATGATGGCACCTCGGGTCAGATGGCACTAACCATCTACTGAAGAAGAGCTTAGATTGTTTTAGAATACTAATGGTGCTTATAATGTGACTATATCAAGGCCTTTAAGATGTCTAGTTGCTAGTGATACCCTGAAAAAGAAAAGAAAATCCAGAGCTACAAAAACATTATAGTGGAAGTCTGGAATATTATTCACTGGAATTGGACACTTTCAGTCAGAAGATTATATTACTATCAAAACATAAAAAACAAAGAAGGGAACAGTGCTGCTTTCATATTCAGGAAGGGTTTAGTTATAATGGGCAGAAAAAATAACTGTGAGGAACAGAAGGAAGAGCTACAACTACAATAATGGTCAGATAAAAGAAATCTGAGTCCAGGACAGAAACGTAATTTGAGAAAAGTGTCTCAGACATGACCTTCTTAGTTTTCATGAAGAAGAAAGGAAGGAGGGGGAGAAATACTTTCATGCTTGCAAGACTCTTTACAAACCTTATAATAAAAGTAGTACTGGCTTGCATGTCTTTGGTTTCCAGGTTTGTCTATCTTGGAAGACTGACAGTAGCAAAGAGACTACTTGGGTACAATGTAGTCAATGAATAAATAATAGCAATTAGATGTTATTCAAGTCTATTCTCCAATCATTAAGAAGAAAAGGCCTAGGGCTTTATGGTTAAGTTTTATTTGAAATTGACAGAACACACAGGTGAGAGTTGCTGCTTATGGTTGAAGCCTGGAATGCCAAAATTGAAAATAATAAGATGTAAAACATAGTTGGATTGAATGGCCTAGGAAACAGATATGAAGCAAGGGAACTTATGTTTCTTCCAATCCAGTGATGTTCTCATTGCTAACATTATGTTCAAAAATCACTAGATGGAATACTCAGAAATCAAATGGACTGTATTATTGATATAAGGAGCTATAGAAGCTCAGTTATACCAGCAAACATGTGGTCAGGGACTAATAGTATAATAAATTACAAACTGTCCATATGCAAATTTCAAGTCAAGCTGAAGTGGGGGAACAAAGCCAACTAGTTTCCATGATATGATCCTGAGCATGAGGAAGTAGAACATGAGGAATTGTTGAATATCACTGTGGAATGAAATCAAGGATGTTATTAAGAATGAATGTGAAGAGACTACCAAAGACCAAGAAACAGAAGAAAGCAAACCAAATATCAAGAGACATCAATATTCATACAAACTAGATTATTGAGAAAGCCCAAGAATACCCAAATACGTCAATAGGTGCTTCACTGATTATAAGGTACAATTCAGTTTTGTTGACCATGCCAAGCAGTGGAATATCCACAGGAAATTAAAAATCTCACATCTTATTGTCATTGTTTCCTGCACACTGGCAGAGAATCACTGACCATGGGAAAACTAATCATGTCCAGTTGGCAAAGGAGTGAAAAAAGACTGTATACTCTGATCAGTTATTTGATCTACATGTTGAATATACACTGATAGATGGAAGATAAACATGGTTTTAAAACTAGAAGAAGAAACATCAATAATATGCACTATACTGATAACACTACCGATAGATGAAAATGCAAAAGATTTGGAAGCTCGGGTAATAAAAGTCAAGCAGTACAATTTAAAAAAACCAAACCAAGATTAAATATAAAGAACACCAAAGAAATCATAACAGGTACAACAATCAGTTCTAGAAGTGACAATAAATTTATTGATCTGATGAATAACTTCAGCCTTAGGATCAATTAAGTAAAGAAATCAGCAGATTAGTATTTGGCAGGGTAGAAATTTAGTCCTTGAAATAGTTATTTTTTGTCTATACAGGCAGCTCTACTATAAAGCCAGTTGAACCTTCAGTTCTTTAGGATTCCTGAAAACATGTTCTCTCCTACCCTACAACTACACTACAGATTGGCACAAATTAATCTGGAATGCATCTACTGTTTCACTTATGGTCTATATTTGTTATTCCTATTATGTTATTCCCTTCGTTTGCTTTTAGGTACTGTGTTGTTTTCTAATTTGCATTGAGAGTCGTTGTGAGCCACTCAGAGATGCCATATAAATCTTTTTAAATAAGATTCCCTTCAGAACTGGATGAATTTATACATCAGAATTTCCTTTAAAAGCTTCAGGATTTGTCTTTATTATAATCTGAATAGTATAAATTATAATCAAATTAAACATTTGCAATGTCTGCCCCAATAAACTCTTTCTGTATGAAGTTGGTTGCCCCAATCAGGCTCCTTTGTAATGTATCAATAATTACGCTGCCTCAACAGTTACTTTTATCCACACATGATCGACCAATACACAAACTGACAACTGTGCATAACTTCTGCCTAAGCAGGCCAGCCATAGCTCCTTCCCCATATTTAAATCATTTTAGGGTCAGGGCAATCTGAACAACCAGTATCTCCTTCTTTCAATCCTATCCAGATATCAAAAATTACACTCCCCCGAAGGATAGCATAAGTTCCGGACAAGCTGGCCGGTCACCAATGTAAGAAAAAGGCCAACCGTTCCTTTGCCTCTCGCTCGCTCCGAGCAACCCGCCGGCCTCGCAGCTTTCAGCCCAGGAGAAAAAGGGCCGAGCCGGGCTCTACGCGCCAGCGAGGGTGGAGCTCCGAGCGCAGCGCATGGGTGTTCGTCTTGTGCAGTGGCGCGAAGCCGCAGAGACTGGGCAGGGTTTTCTTTTGGCCGCCGGGTTTCATCAAAACCTCTGCTTCCACTCGGCGGTGGCCGGAACCGGGAAGCGCCCATACCAAGGAAATTCGTCCCCGCCCCAGGCGTGCCTTTGCGCTCTGCTATAGCTTGCAGGGTCATCTCCGTTCCCGGGAGAGGTTATGAAGCTTACTAAAGCCCAATACGAAGAGGTGGTTCAGTTCCTGGCTCAGGTACCGCCCACCAGGCAGAGCCTGAGGAAACTGAAGGAAAAATTCCCCAGGTAAGTCTACCCCGGGCAGCCTCTCTCCTTCCCCCCCTCCTTCCCGCCGCCTGGCTCTTCCAAGGCAAATTCCGCCCCTTTTTTTTACACGAAGGAAGTGAAAAAGTCAGCTGTCGGAAGTACCTGTTAACAAGTGGCGGCCCGCGCCTGCGGGGAATCCCTTTTGTAATGGGAAAGGAGACCGTTTACCCTGCTTTGCGGCGTGATAAAAGGCTCACTTCCGTCTACTGTTATTTCGCTTCGCTATTTTTGTGCTGGATTTTAAAAAGGAAGCGGGAGATTAGAGGAACAGTAAAAAGAAATGTGACTCTGGCTTGCTAAGGAGCTCAAAATGAAAGTTACCCATGAGTAAAGATGTAAAGTGCGGTGTGTCATCTCTAGAATGGCTATCCCTAATGTAAATAAGCTGCTAGTTCTCAGTAAATTATCTGTTCTTTTTTTCAGTGTGATGTGGAACTGTAGGATGCCAACTGTCATGGGAACCAATTCTAATCCTGTTTCTTTTAAGATTTGTTATAAATACCTTAATTCTTACAATATAGATGGCGGAGCAGTGTTTAGATGCAGTCCTTGATTTACGTCCACACTTGAGGCCAAAATTCCTGTTGCTAAACAAGACTCTTAAGTGAATTTTACCCCATTTTATGACTTGTAGTTGTTAATAAAATGGTTGCTAAGTGAATCTGGCTTCCCCATTGACTTTGTTTGTCAGAAGGTCACAAAAGGTGATCACATGACCCTGGGACACTGCAGCTGTCACAAATACATGTCAGTTGCTAAGTGTCCAAATTTTGATCATGTGATCATGGGGATGCTGCAATGATCGTGTGAAAAACAGTCATAAGTCACTTTTTTTAGTCCTGTTGTAACTTCAAATGGTCACTAAACGAATGGTTGTAAGTCGAGAACTACCTCTACTATCCATATGCTTGCACTTTATAATTTACACTCGCTTCTACAAAAGGTGTCATTTTCCCAAGTAGGGTATATTTCCCTAATCTTCCCAAGTACTACAGATCTGATATAGTTTGGAGCTTTGTATGGCCACATATCAAAAGAAAAAATAAGGTCAATTGTCTCTGTTAGCTTACCAGACAGAATGGTTAGGGTAATTTGGATTATGAAGAACGCTGCCTTAAATGCTTGGAGGAACAGTAGACTGAAATAAAAAAGTCTAAAACATATATTAATATTTCTTAGTATCGTAAAAATAATGTTCATACATTTTATATTCACGTTGGCAAACATATTTAACAGCTCCTTTAGCACTTAACTCTTTCTAGCATCACTGAAAAGTCTTAATGGTAGTCATATTATTTCATTGCAATAAAGAACCAAAGCTATCTATAATATAGCTGAATTATGCCATTTAATTTTCTCATTCTAGAGGCCATTCTGTCTGGTAGGTTAAATAATCACTGAGATAGGAAGATACAAGTATTAAAGATATACAACACTTGGACATGTTTTATGTTTACATGTATATAAGGATACCTAGATAGCATCTGTGTACACCTTAAAACAGTGGCCTCTTTTTGCCCTGGCATCATATGGCTGTTTTCCTCAGCCACAGAGTAATCATGGAAAAAAATACTTGTTCTGTGGGGTCCTCTCTGAGCTTAATTGCTTGCATATGTTTTATTATCCAACTAGGTAACATTAGTGTGAGTGTAAGTGATGTTAACTAATTGGGTAATGAAATGTTGCAAGCAAATAGTCAAACTCAGAAAGCACCAAGGACTCCATAGTTCAACCCTGAGCTACATATATTCTTTTTTATTGGGCCATACATTATGTTTGAAGAGTTGCAGGTGCCATGTTTGTGCCCCTACATGCTTGGAAGCTCCACTTCTGAATCTGAATCCTTGTACAGCTCTACTTCATACCAAAAGACAGGATTAACTTTCATCAGACTGAGGATCATGCTAGTTGTACATAACAGCTTGAAGGATGTCCTCAAAACGTGAGTGAACCTGAACTCCTTTTGGAAGATAGTGGTTTTTAAAGGGAAAAAAGAGAGAATTTGATACTGAAAAATTTCCATGTAAAAAGGGAAAAACAATTTAGGATTGGCTGTAAGACTTGATTTTCTAGTTTTGACTTAGGCCAGTCACTCTCCAAGCCCAACCCACCTCATAGAGTTAACCTCATGCAAACATATACATAGGAGGAAGGAGTATTAGATATGTTTGCTACCTTGAGTTATTTATAAAAATAATAAAGGCAAAAATAAAATAAATAAAATAAAAATGAGCCAGCAGTGTGTTACATATGAACCACAGTATGCTGCAGCTGCCAAAAAAAGCCAACACATGCTAGGCTGCATTAACAGAGGGATAGAATCAAGATCACGTGAAGTGATAATACCACTTTACAGTGCTTTGGTAAGGCCACACTTGGAATACTGCATCCAGTTTTGGTCACCACGATGTAAAAATGATGTTGAGACTCTAGAAAGAGTACAGAGAAGAGCAACAAAGATGATTAGGGTACTGGAGGCTAAAACATAAGGAACAGTTGCTGGAGTTGGGTATGTCTAGTTTAATGAAGAGAAGGACTAGGGGTGACATCATAGCAGTGTTCCAATATCTCAGGGTTTGCCACAAAGAAGAGGGAGTCAAGCAATTCTCCAAAGCTCCCAAAGGCAGGACAAGAAGCAATGGATGGAAACTAACTAAAAAAAGAAGCAACCTAGAACCAAGGAGAAATTTCCTGATAGTTAGAACAATTAATCAGTGCAACAACCTGCCTCCAGAAGCTGTGAATGCTCTAACAGTGGAAGTTTTTAAGAAGAGACTGGACAGCCATTTGCCTGAAATGGTATAGGGTTTCCTGTCTGAGCAGGAGGTTGGACTAGATGACCTCCAAGGTCCCTTCCAACTTTATTATTATTATTAATTAAATAAATACATAGTTTTCAGTTGAGAAGTAGGATGACAACTATAAACTGCTAATTTCTTTGTTAGACTAATCATTATGAGATTACAACTATTGTCACTAAGAGCTGTGGTGGCGCAGTGGTTAGAATGCAGTACTGCACGTTATTTCTGCTGACTGCCGGCTGCCAGCTGTTCGGAAGTTTGATTCTCAAGGTTGACTCATCCTTCCATCCTTCCGAGATTGGTAAAATGAGGACCATTGTGCACAAAACATTCAATCAGTTAAAAAGCTTTTCTTCCGGCTGAAGATTTGGGGGATATTCAACTTTGTTTCTAGGAACAAGGGTTTTAGAAAAATCCTTTTTGTTTTCATTTTCTCTGTTCCTTTGGACCCCCTAGTAACAATACAGGTAATTCTGGACTTACAACCACAATTGGGACCAGAATTTTGTTTGCTAAGTGATGCAGTTGTTAAGCAAATCATATGCAACCAGACTATTTTTACTGTGGTGATAAGCGAACTATTACAACTGTTAAGCAAGATATCATGTGAGCATGATTTGTAAACTTTTCTACCAGTTTCCCCATTGATTTTGCTTGGATGCTAACTGGGAAGTTCACAGATTGTGATCACATGATCACAGGCATAACTTCAATTGTAAGTTACTTTTTTCAGTACCATTGTAACTTTGAACTGTCATTAAGCAAATGGTCGTAAAACGAGGTCTATTGGAGGTAGGGAATAAATGGGAGACGGGGCACACATCTCAATAAATACACACGATAACCACATAGGTGAGAGGAAAACGAGATTTGGCAGGAAAATGTTCAAATGGTTTTGGCAGGAAAAACTCTCGGCACATTTCTGAACCTTTAATACAAATTGAGTATATTGGCACAAATCAGATAATAGCATATTTTTCACTTAAACCAAATTCTTCAGTGAAAATGATCAATCACCTAATTACAAATTTGCATAAAGTGAGATAAACTTGAAGTTGATTCCAAAATGAGCTTGCTCAGTGGCCTTTTTTTTCTGCATATACCCAGTTGAGAAAAATATTATTGACTTATCTCAGATAGGATGCACAAAGTAATATATGAAAAAAAAGAAACCATGAATATAGTGGCATACCCTTGGATACACATCTTTCTATAAGTGGGTGGTATACAAGTATTAAAAGACAGATCATGTATTTGCTTGTACAATGACTGGGCTCTTTTTTTTGTTAGCTTTGCAACCATTATAGTTATATCCGGGCTCATGTGTGTAATACTGAAAATTACAGAAAATAAATATATTCTTCATGGGAATTTCAAAAATAGGGGATTTATAAGTTGTTTCCTTTCTAAAGCATAAAAGGATATGTGTCACACTTTTCAAAGTACCAGAGACACAAATAACATCAGAAGGCTGGTAGAAATGTCTTGTCTCTAGAATGGAAGAAAGTATTAGCTTAAATAGGCCTTGGTAAAGGAAATCCTAAACATGAAAAAGTTAAGACCCATTATTGTTCAAAGGAAAATATATACCAAAAATGAAGGGAAAACAGATCTTCTGAGGCTGAATTAGGAAATTCTAATTTTCAGCATCTTAAAAGATTTTGGAGAACTATTTTTGCTCATTTCCATTTTCATCTGCAAATGAATTCTCAGATTTGAGAATTGAAACTATTGGCATAAGAATAAACTTCAAAGGCTCATTTTGTCATAGTGATACAACTGCTGCTGCATCTTAAATTGTTTGATCTTTTGCCTCATAAATTAACAGCATGGTTCCCATCCCCACTCTTTCACTGTATATATAGTACATATTTACAGAACTTGCACCAGGTTCCAAGGGGTGATTCTTAATTTTTTAAGAATTTTCAAGCCAGTTGACAGTTGAAAGTTTCAAGCTCAGTAAATTAGTTGAATATTAATATACTATCTCTGAAATCATTTTATCTCTTGGATGTTACCATATAGGGAATATTTTCTATTTAGTTTTATAATAAAAAAGAAATCATTGAAGATGACCTTTCCTAAAAACACTTTTAGTTATAAAATAATTGCTTTTTATTGTTTTGTATATTAGAGAAACTGCCCATTTTGTAATCTGCTAATATTTTGCTAATATTT